CCTGATCCTTGTTGTTGCTATTGCTGCTGCTGCTGCTGATCCTTGTTGTTGCTGCTGCTGCTGCTGCTGATCCTTGTTTTTGCTGTTGCTTCTGCTGCTGATCCTTGTTATTGCTGTTGCTGCTCCTGATCCTTGTTGTTGCTATTGCTGCTGCTGCTGCTGATCCTTGTTGTTGCTGCTGCTGCTGCTGCTGATCCTTGTTATTGCTGTTGCTGCTGCTGCTGATCCTTGATATTGCTGTTGCTGCTGCTGCTGATCCTTGTTGTTGCTGTTGCTGCTGCTGCTGCTGCTGATCCTTGTTGTTGCTGTTGCTGCTTCTGATCGTTGTTGCTGTTGCTGCTGCTCTGCTGATCGTTGTTGTTGCTGCTGTTGCTGATCCTTGTTATTGCTGTTGCTGCTGCTGCTGCTGATCCCTGTTATTGCTGTTGCTGCTGCTGATGACCCTTGTTGTTGCTGTTGCTGCTGCTGCTGATCCTTGTTATTGTTGCTGCTGCTGCTGATCCTTGTTATTGCTGTTGCTGCTGCTGCTGATGGTTGTTGTTACTGCCGTTGCTGCTGCTGCTGATCCTTGTTGTTGCTGTCGCTGCTTCTGCTGATCCTTGTTGTTGCTGTTGCTGCTGCTGCTGATCCTTGTTATTGCTGTTGCTGCTGCTGATCCTTGTTATTGCTGTTGCTGCTGCTGCTGACCCTTGTTGTTGCTGTTGCTGCTGCTGCTGCTGCTGACCCTTGTTGTTGCTGTTGCTGCTGCTGCTGATCCTTGTTGTTGCTGTTGCTGCTGCTGCTGATCCTTGTTATTGCTGTTGCTGCTGCTGCTGATCCTTGTTATTGCTGTTGCTGCTGATGCTGGTCCTTGTTGTTGCTGCTGCTGATCCTTGTTATTGCTGTTGCTGCTCCTGATCCTTGTTGTTGCTATTGCTGCTGCTGCTGCTGATCCTTGTTGTTGCTGTTGCTGCTGCTGCTGCTGCTGATCCTTGTTGTTGCTGTTGCTTCTGCTGCTGATCCTTGTTATTGCTGTTGCTGCTGCTGCTGATCCGTGTTGTTGCTGTTGCTGCTGCTGATCCTTGTTATTGCTGTTGCTGCTGCTGCTGATCCTTGATATTGCTGTTGCTGCTGCTGCTGATCCGTTTTATTGCTGTTGCTGCTGCTGCTGATCGTTGTTGTTGCTGTTGCTGCTTCTGATCGTTGTTGCTGTTGCTGCTGCTCTGCTGATCGTTGTTGTTGCTGCTGTTGCTGATCCTTGTTATTGCTGTTGCTGCTGCTGCTGCTGCTGATCGTTGTTGTTACTGCTGTTGCTGCTGCTGCTGCTGTTCCTTGTTTAGCTGTTGCTGCTGCTGGATCCTTGTTATTGTTGCTGCTGCTGCTGATCCTTGTTATTGCTGTTGATGCTGCTGCTGATCCTTGTTGTTGCTGCTGCTGCTGATCCTTGTTGTTGCTGCTGCTGCTGCTGCTGATCCTTGTTATTGCTGTTGCTGCTGCTGCTGATCCTTGTTATTGCTGTTGCTGCTGCTGCTGATCCTTGTTATTGCTGTTGCTGCTGATGCTGATCCTTGTTGTTGCTGCTGCTGCCGCTGATCATTGTTGTTGCTGCTGATCGTTGTTGCTGCTGTTGCTGCTGCTGCTGCTGATCGTTGCTGTTGCTGCTGCTGCTGCTGCTGAACGTTGTTGTGATCGTTGCTGTTGCTGCTGCTGCTGATCGTTGTTGTTGCTGTTGCTGCTGCTGCTGTTGCTGCTGCTGCTGATCGCTGTTGTTGCTATTGCTGCTGCTTCTGATCGTCGTTGTTGCTGCTGCTGCTGAACCTTGTTGTTGCTGCTGCTGCTGATCCTTGTTGTTGCTGTCGCTGCTGCTGCTGATCCTTGTTGTTTCCTGTTGCTGCTGCTGCTGATCCTTGTTATTGCTGTTGCTGCTTCTGTTGCTGCTGCTGCTGCTGATCGTTGTTGTCGCTTTTGCTGCTGCTGCTTCTGATCGTTGTTGTTGCTTTTGCTGCTGCTGCTTTTGGTCGTTGTTGTTGCTGCTGTTGCTGCTGCTGCTGAACCTTGTTATTGCTGCTGCTGCTGCCGCTGCTGCTGCTGCTGCTGCTGATCCTTGTTATTGCTGTTGCTGCTGCTGCTGATCCTTGTTATTGCTGTTGCTGCTGATGCTGGTTGCTGCTGTTGCTGCTGCTGCTGATCGTTGCTGTTGCTGCTGCTGCTGCTGCTGAACGTTGTTGTGATCGTTGCTGTTGCTGCTGCTGCTGATCGTTGTTGTTGCTGTTGCTGCTGCTGCTGCTGTTGCTGCTGCTGCTGATCGTTGTTGTTGCTATTGCTGCTGCTTCTGATCGTCGTTGCTGCTGCTGCTGCTGATCCTTCTTGTTGCTGATTGTTGTTGTTGTTGCTGCTGATCCTGTTGCTGCTGCTGCTGATTCTTGTTATTGCTGGTGCTGCTGCTGCTGATCCTTGTTGTTGCTGTTGCTGCTGCTGCTGCTGCTGACCCTTGTTATTGCTGTTGCTGCTGCTGCTGATCCTTGTTGTTGCTGCTGCCGCTGATCCTTGTGATTGCTGCTGTTGCTGCTGCTGATCCTTGTTGTTGCTGCTGCTGCTGCTGATCCTTGTTGTTGCTGCTGCTGCTGATCCTTCTGATTGCTGTTGCTGCTGCTGCTGGTCCTTGTTGTTGCTGTTGCTGCTGATGCTGATTTTTGTTATTGCTGTTGCTGCTGATGCTGATCCTTGTTGTTGCTGCTGCTTCTGCTGCTGATCGGTGTTGTTGCTGCTGCTGCTGCTGGCTGCTGCTGCTGCTGCTGCTGCTGCTGCTGCTGATCGTTGCTGTTGCTGCTGCTGCTGCTGCTGAACGTTGTTCTTGCTATGCTGCTGCTGCTGCTGCTGGCTGCTGCTGCTGCTGCTCCTGATCGTTGCTGTTGCTGCTGCTGCTGATCGTTGCTGCTGCTGTCCTTATTGTTGTTGCTGCTGCTGCTGATCGTTGTTGTTGCTGCTGCTGCTGATCGTTGTTGTTGCTGCTGCTGCTGATCCTTGTTGTTGCTGCTGCTGGTCCTTGTTGTTGCTGTTGCTGCTGCTGCTGATCCTTGTTGTTCCTGTTGCTGCTGCTGCTGATCCTTGTTATTGCTGTTGCTGCTGCGGTTGCTGCTGCTGCTGCTGATCATTGTTGTCGCTTTTGCTGCTGCTGCTTCTGATCGTTGTTGTTGCTGCTGTTGCTGTTGCTGCTGCTGCTGCTGCTGCTGCTGAACCTTGCTATTGCTGCTGCTGCTGCCGCTGCTGCTGCTGCTGCTGCTGATCGTTGTTGCTGCTGTTGCTGCTGCTGCTGCTGATCCTTGTGGTTGCTGATTGTTGTTGTTGCTGTTGCTGCTGCTGATCGATGTTGTTGCGGCCGTTGCTGCTGTCGCTGCCGCCGCTGCTGCTGCTGCTGCTGATCCTTGTTATTGCTGCTGATCCTTGCTATTGTTGTTGCTGCTGCTGCTGCTGATCCTTGTTATTGCTGTTGCTGCTGCTGCTCCTTGTTGTTGCTGTTGCTGCTGCTGCTGATCCTTGTTATTGCTGTTGCTGCTGCTGCGGATCCTTGTTATTGATGTTGCTGCTGCTGCTGATCCTTGTTGTTGCTGTTGCTGCTGCTGCTGATCCTTGTTATTGTTGTTGCTGCTGCTGCTGATCCTTGCTATTGCTGTTGCTGCTGCTGCTGATCCTTTTTATTGCTGTTGCTGCTGCTGCTGATCGTTGTTGTTGCTGTTGCTGCTGCTGCTGTTGCTGCTGCTGCTGATCGTTGTTGTCGCTTTTGCTGCTGCTGCTTCTGATCGTTGTTGTTGCTGCTGTTGCTGTTGCTGCTGCTGCTGCTGCTGCTGCTGCTGCTGAACCTTGTTATTGCTGCTGCTGCCGCTGCTGCTGCTGCTGATTGTTGGTGCTGCTGTTGCTGCTGCTGCTGATCCTTGTCGTTGCTGATTGTGCAGCTGATCGATGTTGTTGCGGCCGTTGCTGCTGCCGCTGCCGCTGCTGCTGCTGCTGCTGCTGCTGCTGCTTTTAATATTTGTTGTTGCTGTTGCTGCCGCTGCTGCCGCTGATCAATGCTGTTGCTGCTGTTGCTGTTGTTGCTGCTGCTGCTGATCGTTGTTGTTGCTGTTGCTGTTGCTGCTGTGTCTTTTGATCGTTGTTGTTGCCCTTGCTGCTGCTGATCATTGTTGTTGCTGTTGCTGGCTTTGCTGGCTTTGCTGCTATTGCTGCTGATTGTTGTTGTTGTTGCTGTTGCTGCTTATGCTGCTGCTGCTGCTGCTGCTGCTGCTGCTGCTGCTGCTGCTGCTGCTGCTGCTGCTCTTGTTGCTGCAGCTTATCGTTGTTGTTGCTGTTGCTGCTGCTGATGATCGTTGTTGTTGCTGCTTGTTGTTGTTGCTGTTGCTGCTGCTGCTGATCCTTGTTGTTGCTGTTGCTAATGCTGCTGCTGATCGTTGTTGTTGCTGTTTCTGCTGATCGTTGTTGTTGTTGTTGCTGTTGCTGCTGCTGCTGCTGATCGTTTTGCTGCTTTTGTTGCTGCTGCTGCTGCTGCTGCTGCTGCTGCTGCTGATTGTTGTTGTTGCTGCTGCTGTTGTTGTTGTTGTTGTTGTGGTTGTGGTTGTGGTTGTGGTTGTTGTTGTTGTTGTGGTTGTGGTTGTGGTTGTGGTTGTTGTCGTCGGCGTTGTTGCTGTTGTTGCTGTTGTTGCTGTTGTTGTTGTTGTTGTTGCTGCTGCTGTTGTTGTCGTCGGCGCCACGGTCGTCGTTCTTGTTGTTGGTGGTGGTATGGCCGTTCTGCTCCTGCTCTTCCCCTGGCTGTTTCTCTGCTACTGCTGGTACTGTTGTAGGCGTTTGCTGGTTTGATCAATTCGCGCACGTCTCGGCTCAGCTTGTTTTATTTGTGTTGCGCATTTTGGTGTTGGCTTGACTGCGTGAAACAACGCGACTGGCAGGCTCAGAAGCATTGCCCTCGGGAATGCCACGTCCTCGAGCTCAAGTTGCCAGCGCGTGCATCCAATGCGAGCAGAGCTCAGGTTGACAAAGCCTCGAACATTGCGAGACAAATTGGGAATGGGTGCTGGAGGAAAAAGGTCGTTCTATGCTCTTGTTTTGCCAAAGAACGGGGCTTGCAAGGCCCGCCATCTCAGCGCAGCTGCCTTTCCATTTCCGGGCGACTTGTCTGGGGATGGAGACAGCTAGGCGCAAAGCCTGAAAGAGGGGAGCTGGCCACAGCTTGCTCGCCAGGCCTGCAAGTGATGGCAGGCGCGTTTCGGGGACAACTGGCCAAGAGTGCGAGATTGCCGCAAGAGAGCGGCAAGAACTTGGCAATTGTTTGGCAAGACGTGAAAAGGCTGCTGCGATGCCAGCGCGCTGCCGAAGAACATCCGACGAGAGTGGATTGAGGATGGGGGGAGGGGCATACAGCCCACCAGTCCCTGATGCACGATTGAACAATTCTGGGACTTGCGCTGGTACTGAACAAGAAGCCTGACAGCAGTATTCATTCTGCAGGTATTGCCTGCTCGCTGATGGTTCAGTTTGAGCTTATCGACCGTACCATCGATAGCCAGTTGTTCCACGCAGCTCCCGGTAAAAGGTGCAATATTTGATTGCAACAGAATGGCCCGATGTCTCGAACGCTGAAGTTAATGCGTGATTCGGAACCAGACCCGTAAAGCCGAGCATGTTTGAGCCGCAGCAGGGTTTGTGTTCTCAAGTCATGCAAGCCGCTAGGCAAACTTTAGAGCCTCCGGCTCAGCTCGCCGACGTATCACTGTGCAAGAAGGTCAGCCCAAAGGCTCACCGTTTCATACGCAGGAGCCTTGCTTTCACTGATGTTGCATTCTTGAAACAGTTTGTCAACATCCGTGTCAGGAAGCTGTTGTGGCGCACTTCCATCTTCTGTGGAAATCATGGGGCTGAAAGCCCCGGTTGCATGGCAGACAGTTTCGCCGTGGCCAAGCTGGCCCGAGACGCAATCGCCCTCTCTCATGAGGGCTGACACGTATGGCCCGCTATGCAGCAGACATGGCGAGGCATAGCACATAGCAGCAGTTTGACCAAACACGTTTCGACTTTGCATTCGCATATCGCAAAAGGGCCACCAGTGCGCTTTCAGCGGAGCTTGCTCCGTGGCCCGCGCCATGGCTGGCGGGGATGCCGTTCCATCCCGAGCATTCTGGAGGGATGATGAGATCATTTGCGATCGGGACGGCGTCCCGCAGTTCACAGGGGTCCAGCCGCACCTCATGAAGGAGTGCCGGGAGGGAGATGGCAAGGATGAAGATGAGGAGGCGGCTGATCTGAAGAAGAAACAGCAGCGCCTGATCGATGGGCTCCACGGAGACGCCTGGAGAGCGGTGCAGAACTTGGTGATGCACAGCACAGAGCTGAAGAAGGTCGACGGTTACAAGGAGGTCTTCGCGGCGCTTCAGAGCGTCGAGCGCGAATCGTAGTCAAGAAGACCGAGGCCTTCGACAAGTTCTTCAAGAAATCGCACCGCCGACGTGGGCAGCCGATCGACCAGTGCCTCAGGCAGAAGAAGCAGGGCTGGGCAGATTTGCAGGACCTGGACAAGACCTCCGCCTCCGCATCGAGCAGGCGCTGCGGGTATCCTTCTTGGACCTGCATGAGAAGGAGAAGGGCGTGAGTTTTCACGTGCACCGTTCCGGAAAGGGAACCGAGAAGGCAAGGGCCACCTGGTGGAGGAGGCTCGGAGGAGGCTCAGACGCCGGAGGAGGAACAGCCGGAGGAGGAAGATGATGGCCAAAGCCCATCGGTGGAGATCATCGAAGAGGCTTACGAAGCCGAGGAGATGGAGAGCGAATGGGATCCCGACGTGGGTGTTTTTTAGGACGACAAGATCTACGACGCCTTCATCGCGATGGATGATCCCCGCACCTACAAGGACGCCAGGAAGCGATTGTCGGACGTGCAGAAGGCCCGCGGCTTCTTCATGGAGGAGCGGAAGGCCGCGGCGCAGAAGGCCCGCTGTGCACCCTGTGGTCAAATCGGCCACTGGGCCGGTGATACTTCTCCTGTCGCAAGCCGTCTAGGAGTCCTCCAAAGGAGGCGTAAGACGACAGCCTACACAGGAGATGACCCCCAGCCATGGGATTTGGTCGAGCAGGTCATCGAGCACGGCTATATGGCGAGTTTGAGTGGCGATGGCACAGTTCTCATCCCGAACGTCAAGGGCACGGTCTACGACATCAAGGTCTCTTCGCTGGTCGAAGCTCGGCCCACGGAGCTTCAGATGATGAAGGACCGGGAGCTGCGGACGATTTGCGATCAGTGGGGGATCCAGACCTCTGGCAAGATGGCAGACCTACTAAACCTTTGGAGAGCTTCTAGTGCGGGGAGGCTGTGGAGCAGCAGTTCTTGAGGTTGCGGCTCGGCCCAGACATTCTGAGAGGCAAATGGATGCACGAGCCAGAACCTGGCTGACGCATTTTTCAAAGCTATCCCCAAGGCACCAACACCTCATCGACAACGGCTATGGCAAAGGCGGCGGAGATCAGGGACCAGCGCGCGAAGTGCACGGCGGCTAGCCTCGAGATTGGCAAGGGCTACGATGCTGTTCGTTGTGCTGATTGCGGGGCACACATGGTGGCAAGGCGGAACCGGTCCGATACGGGGCTCTTCTTCGGTTGCTCGCGTTTTGGAGATAGTGGGTGTCGCTTCACACGCCCACTGCAAGACGGCCTCGACACCATCAACGGCAAGCTGGATGGATCCCTCCGTTTCGGAGGCGGCGGGCGGAACCGGAGCGGTGGTCCCCGGGCGGTGTGTCCGTCCCCAGAGGACCCGAGTGTGCATGACAAGAATTCATTTGCGTTTGCGTTTTCTTCAGCATCAGACGTCACCGGGCGGACATCATCAGCTGCAACCAGGTGATGGTCTGGACGAGAGCCGGGTGCCCTTGACACAGCACGCATGGCCTGCATGCGCAGTGCAGCTTGGTGACGGGCTTTTGAACGGACCCTGCCGCCTGAATACACCTGTCAGCTGACGGAGCGCAGCAACCCTGGGCGTCGGCTATTGATTTAAATCAATAGGTTTCTTGTTCTATTGATATGCCCTTTTTTTCAATAAGAAACATGTGGTTCTAGGCGACCAAAATCAAAAGCAAGATTGCGAAACAAATCAATTAAAAATGTGTTCATTTTTAGATGGTAAATCAAAAGCAAATATCAATAAGGTTTGCAATGCGGCACACCCCTTTTTTCCACAATGGCAGTGTAGGAGCTTGTCCCCCTTTCAGCAAGGGCATGCCTACAGAAGCAGGAGAAGGTGCTTTTCACCTTCTAGCAAAGGGGATGAGCTTGTCACCCTTTCAGCAACGGCATTCCTGTAGCAGCAGGAAAGGGATGGGGGCCTGCCACCCTTTTAGCAAGGGCATTTTCTGGAGTAGCAGGACAAGGAGAGCAGCCTGCCACCCTTTTAGCAAGGGCACCCTCTATAGCAGAAGCTTTTGCAGTGAATAGTCAGCTGGCGTGTCCCTCTTGGCCAAAACCTGGCCTGCTGAGTTGCAGGTGAAGAAGAAATTTATATTTCACTGCAAGCTTGGAGCTGAGCTTGGAGGATTTTACCCCAAAGGCAGTGGAATGTGTCAACACACTCATTCTGCCCACAAAGTGCTCTGCTCTGTAATTGGAATGGATTCTATTTAAGGGCTGCCGCCCAGTGCCGCCGAGCCCTCCGCTGGGGGGCCAGCCCAGGTTTTTTTTGTTCTGTCAGCGGCTTTTGGCTGGTTCAGGCTTGCTGGCTTGCTTGTCGCTTGCTTGCTTGTTTGCTTGTTTTCAGCGCTTTTCCAGGCCGCACTCGTTTGCCCACAGCGAGCACCAACCAAAGGAGTGCTATATAGAAAGTAGACAGCTATCGGTCCCCAGGGCGCAACCAGCAAGAACAGCTTCGCGTCCAGCGCGCTTGGAGGCCGCACTCGCTTCGCTGCAGCGAGCACGAACCAAAGGAGTGCGCCGGCAGCCTGCTCCGCCGCGGCCGAGTGCCTAACGTCGCGTTTGAGTCCAATATGCAGCAAAGCTATCGGTCCAGAGGGAGCGGCCAGCCACAAAAGCTTCGCTTCCCGCGCTGGTCCAGGCCGCACTCGTTTGTCCACAGCGAGCACCAACCAAAAGGAGTGCGCCGGCAGCAGAAAGGAAGAAAAGAGGCCGAACGGGCGGGCCGTGACAAAGCTTCAGCGCTGAAAACTGTGCCCTGCAGGTGCTGGAGCGCTTTTCCAGGCCGCACTCGTTTGCCCACAGCGAGCGCCAACCAAAGGAGTGCGCCGGCAGCCGATAGGAAGAAAAAAGGCCGAGCGGGTGGGTCTTCAGCGCGAAAAGCTGTGCCGAGCAGGTACTTGAGCACTCTCGGCCTCGGCTCAGGACCAGTTGGTGTAGTGGCATCACACCCGCTCAGCATGCGAGAGGGGCCGGGTTCAATTCCCAGCCTGTCCATGCCCATGTGCGCCTGCGTTGGTCTTTCTCGCTTTGGGTTGCTGTGCGTCTTGCCAAGGGCGGCTGCTGCGCCGCGGCCGGGTGCCGAACGTCACTTTTGAATCCTATATATAGAAATAGTATTAGTTAGAAATAGTATTAGTAGAAAGTATAGAAAGTATAGAAAGTAGAAAGCTATCGATGGGCAGTGGGTCGCGTAGGCGTCGCGCGAATGGTTTGCTTAGGGATCGCGCAAATGGATCGCTCCGGGATCGCCTTTTGGCAGAAGGCTTATCGCGCATGCATGCGTGTTGATATGTTTGCCTGGCGATGTATGTTTATATACGCGCATGCGCGAGCAGGAATGCGCTTGTTTGTGCTTGTTGGCGTGTATATCGCATGACATATGTGACGTGTATGTTTCATGACATATGTTACTATGTATGCTGGCGAGTCCATGTATGTGGTTGTGTGCATGCGTGTTGACATGTCAGTGGCGGACCCTTCCATTTTTCAGAGGTCGTATGTGGGTCCTGTTTTGGTTAGATGGTTGTGATCCTGTTAAGCACGACCCCAATGAAACCAAACAAGACCACATGTGATGCGGTATCATCCCCCCCCAACCCCCCCCCCCCCCAAAGCCATGTTATTTTGTAATCCGGTAGAAGAGTTGAGCGGATATGCTTATCATCCCCCCACCCAGCCCCCCGCCCCAGAACCATGTTACTTTGTAATCCGGAAAAAGAGCAGGCTGGTCTGTAGCAGTTGAGCGGGTGTGCCTGACATGCCCCCCACCCAAGCCCCCCCCGCTGGTCTGCAGCAGTTGGGCGGGTGTGCTTGTCATGCCCCCCGCCCCCACCCCCTCCCCAGAGCCATGTTACTTTGTAATCCGGTAAAGGAGCTGGCTGGCCTGCAGCAGTTGAGCGGGTGTAGCAGGCTGGTCTGCAGCAGTTGAGCGGGTGCGCTTAT